GACCTAAGTAAACAGAAACTTTCGACGGTCCGCGCGGATTTCTTGGATCTACGCTGGACCACCCTCCCTGGCGCGCGGAGCGCGCCAGGGGGGGCGTCGCCAGAGGCGCCGCCAGGGGGGGGCCAAGCGCCGATCCAAGAAACCTGAGCGGGGCTCCGAAAGTTTAGGCGTATGCAGATAGGTCTTTTTCGAGTTGATGGAGGCGTGTTGGCGATATGCCTAGGGAGCCCACAGAAGACGTACGGGACCAACCTCGTGATGCGAACGTTGGCGCAATGCATACTCTCGAAACCAACGTGGATTCATTCACGTGCACGTGATTCGCTCGCTCCTCAGGGGGTGGAAGCTCGCAAGGCGTCATCGCGGGTGCACGGGGCACCCTCTGGTGGCATCGTGGGCGCCTGCCTCTCCGCGCGGGAGGGCGCAACGTCTGGTCCTCCATCGCTGCTCCTGTTCCTGCTCCCACTCCTGCCCCAGCTGCACCCGGTTGCTCCTCCCCCCTTCATCAACCTCCCTCCGCCTCCCTCCAATTTTAAGTCGGGCGTGTCCTCCTACAGGCGGATGTTGGACGAAAACCGAACAATCCTCAAAACAGATTTAAAAATACACCCAACTAGTAAAAATTCGTCCCCATATTATTTGTTTGACTATTTTTGAATATTCCTCCTGTAGAGGCACACCTCCCCCTCCCCCTCCCCCTTCGAAGCTCGCCTCCCCCCCCACACCTCCTCACGGACGCATGCAATTCGGCCAGAACATCTACAAAGGGAAACGGCGACCGACGCCCCGTACCGATACCGCTACTCCCCCGACCCCTCCTGGGGTGCGTTCTGTCCAGAATTTCGAGGCGAATCCAGCGGTGCCTCCCTCTGAATAGCCGTGCCAGGCAAGCATCGGGCAGCGTCGGATCGACGGAACATCGGTCTCGTGTCGCATCGAGCTGGCCGAACCAGCCATCGACTTGGACGGATCGGATCGGAATGGGCCCCGGATGCCCGGGCGGCGGGGGGGGCGCGGTGGGCCCCAGCCCTCCTCAGCCACACTGGCCGGCAGGGCGGGTGGGCTCGCTTCTTGTCTGATGCCCCCACTGTACACGGCATCTCTCCGCTCCGCCCCCAGTTCCATCGTCGACGATGCGGGCTCGATGCTGCGCAAAAGGTGCTTCGACCCGCAGTGTCCCTCAGGGCCCAAACGCGAAACCGTCTTCTCTTTTCACTTGAGACTCGATCCAAACCAAGATGTTGCTTCCTCATTCCCCTCGCGTAGCGTCCGTTACAGGTGGGAGGGGAGGGGTCGGGCCTGCGAGCGCCACACCATGCTTGCGAGCACCCGAACATGCCCGTGAGCACCATGGTATGCCTCATGTCTGTGGCTGAACCCGCGCCCCCTCCGCGCATGCTCGGTACAATCACGGGGAGGGAAATGGGGCGACCCGCGCAACTGGGGAAACCAAAACAACTACCGATACCGCTACTCCCCTGACCTCTCCCGGGGGGCGTTCGGACCAAGTGGGGAAAAACGAGGCCCTAAAAGGGGAAGAACGAGAGAAGGGTAGGGGTATGGGTACCTTCTCCTCCTCTAAGCTACGGACGTTACCGAACACCGAGTAGAGAAACCAATCTCCTAGTGTCGGCGACTCCGAAGGGTGTGGCTTGCAGAGGGAAGGGTTTGCAACCGGCTGGAAGGCGGGCGGAGACCTCGATTGAACTCTCCGCCGCGCCCCGAAGAGGCCCGACTAGGAAAGTGTCGTGCCCACCAGGCCCCAACGGCGCCGATCGCAAACCACGACCCGTCGTACACGTCGGTCTGAAGAAGTATGTTAAAACATTAAGTAGTAAGGCGGATTGGGTTCAGGCCCTCCCAGAGAATACCCAAAACACATCAAACGCATATCGACTCTTGAAGTAGGGAGGCGCTTGCAGTAGGTTGGGATCTGGGAATCCAAACATACCTGCTTCAAACGACCTACAACCATACCCTCTGTAGTCGCCGAAAATGTTCCGCGGGTGAACGGGAAAAAAGGGCGAGCCTCCTTAGAAGGCTCGAGAGTGCCCTGGCCGAGCCTTCCTTCCCTGAAGACTCCAAACAACTCATCGGAAGGCGCGAGAACTTCTGAGAAGCCCCGCCGCGTTCTGAAAGGGCCTTTTCCTTCTCACTCCCCCCCTCGTTCGCCGCCGATCCACACCCCATCACACGTTTCGTGTCGCCACTTTTTCCGTCGCAGCGCGGCAGGAGGCGATTCGCACGCGCGCTCTGGTGGGCCAAGCGATGGCAAACACCTGCAACAGAAAAAAAGACACGGGCTGAGCGCGGCGGCGGGGGAGGAAGAGGAGGGGATCCCTCACTTCCCTGCCCGCGACGGCCGCCGCTCCCAGCGGCGGCGGCGCGGCGGTGGCGCGGCCGCCGCCGCCAGCACCGTCGTCGCCGTTGCGGCCGCGTCGGCGCCGATGCATCCTGGTCGTCGTGGTCCTCGTCATCGCCGTCGTGGTCGTGGTTGTTCTCGTGGTCGTCGTGGTCGTGGTCGTCGCGGTCGTCGTCGTCCCTCACTCGCCGCCGCGGTGGGCCCTCGCTCCTGCCCGCGGCAGGGGGCCGCCGCGCCACGGCCTCGCCGCCAGCGGGGCGCGGCGGCGCGCCCAGGCGCGGGGCGGCGGCGGGCGCGACCTGCGGGCGGGCCGTGGTCGCAGGGGCTCAGAGAGACCGATGCTACGCTATGGCAGTGTGAATATGTTTGTTGTTGTTTCTCTCTCTCTCTCTCTCTGTCTCTCTCTCTCTCTCTCTCTCTCTATCTCTCGCTTTGTCTCTTTATATATACATATATATATGCACATATACATACACACACCGATATAGGTATATATAAATATATACATATGTATGCTACGTTATGGCAGTGTGAATGTAACCCTCTATATATGCTTGTATATATATAAATGTATGTACATATATATATACATATATATATGTATATATATATATATATATATGTGTGGTCGCCCACTGTGATCATACATCCTCCTCCTCCTCCTCCTCTGCCTCTTCTTCTTCCTCGTCCTCCTCCTCCTCCTTCCTCCTCGTCCTCCTCCTCCTATGATCGCGCCACCTCCTCCTCCTCCTCTTCCTCCTCCTCCTCATGCTCCTCTCCCTCTCTCTTCCTCTCTCATTCTTTCTCTTTCTCTCTTTCTGTCGATTTCCCATTCTCGGGACACTTGCCGTTGCAAAACGCTGCGCTTCCAAGATTTTCCAAATATTCCACATCTCCCCAGAAACTACCCTGGTGAAAACCCGGTGTTTTCCAAAGTTTCCAAATCTCCCCAAAAACTTCCCTTGTGAAAAACCATGTGCTTTCCAGATTTTCCAGATGTTCCAAATCTCCCGAGAGACTCACCTGGTGAAAAACAATGTCTTTTCATGATTTTTCAAATTTTCCAGATCTCCACAGGGACTACCCTCGTGAAAAACTAATTGGTTTCGAGGTTTTCCAGATTTTCCAAATATCTCCAGAGACTGCCCTGGGCTTCAAGGTGTTCCACCATGGTAGTCTCTGGGGAGATCTGGGAAATCTGGAAAACACATGGTTTTTCACCAGGGTGGTCTCTGGGGAGATCTGGAATATCTGGAAAATCTGGAAATCACAACGGTTCTTCACCATGGTAGTCTCTGTGGAGATCTGGAGTAGCTGGAAAATCTGGAAACACAAGTTCTACACCAGGGGAGTTGTTGGTGAGTTGTTGTTGGGACCAAAACGGCCCTGGTGAAAAACCACGAGTTTTCCAGATGTTCCAAAACTCCCCAAAGACTTCCTTGGTGAAAAACTATGTATTTTCAACATTTCCCGAATCTCCCCAGAGACTACCCTGATGAAAAACAATGTGTTTCCCAACTTTTCCAAATACTTCCAGAGACGGCCCTGGGCTTCAGGGTTTTTCGCCAGGGTAGCCCCTGGGGAGATCTGGAAAATCTGAAACTCTGGAAAATACATTGTTTTTCACAAGGTAGTCTCTGGGGATATCTGGAATACCTGTAACATCCGTAGAGCACAAGGCTTTTCACCAGGGTAGTCTCTGTGGAGATCTGGAACATCTGGAAAATATAAGGTTTTTCACCTGGGGAGTCTCTGGGGAGATTTAGAAAATCTGGAAAACAAATCGTTTTTCACCAGGTGGGTCCCTGGGGAGATCTGGAAAATCTGGAAAATCTGGAAAACACATGACATGACCTCGTGGTCCGGGGGAGGAGGAGGACGGGGACGAGGAGGACGGGGACGAGGAGGAGGAGGAGGAGGACAGGGATGATAACGAGGAGGAGGAGGGATACCAGAAGAAGATGAGTAGGGGAAAAGGAGAAGAAAGGATGACGGGAGATGATGGGGAGGGAAAAGAAGAATATGAGGAGGCTGTTAGACCGTCAACCTTCGAACGCCCAGCAAGGACCACAATAAAGGGTGGCAGTGTACAAAATCGCTGGCCCTCGTTGCTATGCGATTCGGCTTGCGACCGCGTGTCCGCGGGTTCGCGCCCTGGAAAAAAAGGTCGCGAGGGCGCGGATCTGGAAATGTTCGCCGCTCATGAGACCCAGAGGGGGGTGGGGACGGGGCAGAACCGGCCTGTTTGCGAGCGGGCGGCCTGGGCAATCAGCTAGGGCTACGGGTAGACCGCGAGCAACGGTACGGGTGGGGTCAGCCGGGGGGCTGACCGTGGGCGAGCTACGAGTCACGACCTGGCCACCGTCCTCCTAGAAACATCGCCAACATCTGGGATACACGCTGCCCTCATCATCTGATTCAGAAGCCTCCAACAACGTTCCCGGTAACTGATTGTGTGGGACCTGTGGCGAAGCCAGTCAGTCGGTTGTAACACGCACACACATACATAAACACACATACACACTCACACATGCACGCGTACAACTTACAGGTATACGCACTAGTATATATATGAATATATATATATATATAGATATGTATGTATGTATGTAACCGAATACCCTCGACGGGCCAGATGTTTCCTCACCAGCGGGCTGCCTCTGGCCAACAGTCACTGCGCCACAAGAGCTACAACACAGAACTTTACACTCTCGGGGAGGCTGGTTCCACCAGACATTCCCCGTCGAACTGCGCACAGCAGACTGGAAGCGGAAAGGCTTCTTGTCCTTAGAAATTATCATCGATGAACTAATCGACAGGGGACCTGATCATCTGCGGTGTGGTGTAAAAATGGCACGATTATACGGCAGTCTCTATTGGAGGCTGCCAGATACAATGCTCGCGCTCGAAGGTGTCCTAACGATTGCTGGCTTGATCAAGCGCGACACGGCTCATAAAAAATCCCACCAGCCCTCTGGGCGCAGGTGGTCTAGGGCGTTTCCCTTTCCAACCTCCTGCCTTTCCCTGCTCGGGAGGTGTACCTCCCTCCCCCCCCCCTCTCTGCGTTTGGACGGGGGGGGGGGGGCGGACCCATAGCAGCGTCCAAGATGGCCCAAGATGGCTCCAAGAGGGCCTCCGAGAGCGCAAGATGGCCTCCAAGATGGCCCAAGATAGCGGTAGACGGGTCAAGACAGCCTCCGACACGCGTCCAAAAGGCCTCAAGACGGCCCCAAGACGGTTTCAAGTGCCCTCCGAAGCCTCCAAGGATCCCCCCAAGAGGCCAACATCATTCAAAAGCCTAAGGGAAAGCAATGTGGTTTGCCTTCTCGCTTTTTCGCCTCCGAAGGGCTCTTGAGGCCTCAAGATGGCCCCACAATGGCCCAAGACAGCCCCAAGAGGCGCCCAAGAGAGCTCCAAGACGGCCCCAAGAGCGCCCAAGAGCGCTCCAAGAGCGGGCCAAGAGGGTCCCAAGACGGCATTTTTGAGCCTCCGAGGGGGGGGGGGCAAGAATTTACCCCCCTCCCCCCCCTCTTCTTTAGCCGTAAGGACCAAGACGGCCCCGAGAGGCCTCCCCCACCCCAAAGAGCCCCAAGAGGGCTCCAAGACCCTCCAAAAGAGACGCAAGAGGGCCCCAAGAAGGCCCCAAGAGGACCCCAAGAGCGCCCCAAGAGGACCCTAAGAGGACCTCAGGAGAGCCCCAAGAAAGAGCCCCAGGGAGGCCCCAAAAGGGGCCCAAGAGAATCCCAAGAGGGCCCCAAGATGCCTCCAAGTTTCGGAACGCACGCGAGTTTAAGATACAAATCAGTGCAACAGCCATTACGAGTCATCGAAATACCCCTCACATATCATCGAAGCACCATCGTAATTTGCAATGATTTCCACCCTAAACTTCAATGCGGGAAACTATGTGTGATGCTTGTGTTCTCGAAGACGGCTGCGCGACTGCATGCGTTCTGCCGCCCCTGATTCACCAACTCCCCTGCTGATCGATTCTGGATGGGCTGGTGGGGATACGCGAAACGTCAAGAATTGACGTGTCTACCTATCACTTGAATACCGATTGCGCGGCAGGCACCACCAATTCTCTCATAACCAGTCGGAACTTGAAGCTG